GCTTTGAGAAGCCACCTTTAAAGGCGCTATATAAAATAAAATTTTTTATTATTATTATTATTATTATTATTATTATTATTAAAAAAAGTTCAGGATTCAATTACTTCCTTTATAGAACAAAAGCTGAATGAAGAGAAGGATATCCTATATGAAAGCATTTTAGGTGCACAGTTGAGCAGAAATATAAATCTGTTAATTTCAGCATTTCCATTACACCTGCTGTTTTATCTTTGTAGGTGAAATCTTTGGATGAAAGTTCTACAGTTGGCAGGATATCCAAGCAATGGACAGGTTTTTTTCGAGAAGCTTTTTCTGATGCAGATAACTTTGGAATCCAGTTTCCTAAGGACCTTGATGTCAAAATTAAAGCTGTAATGATCGGTGCCTGTTTCCTTATCGTAAGTGTACTTATTATACAGTATAGCATATAATAATGTCATTATATTATTGTAGTTACTGTTACTACTAAGTTATAGTCCTGTCCCCTGCTTCGGATGAGACGTAAAACCGAGGTCCTGACTCTCTGTGGTCATTAAAAATCCCAGGGCGCTTCTCGAAAAGAGTAGGGGTGTAACCCTGGCCAAATTTCCAATTGACCCTTACCAATCATGGCCTCCTAATAATCCCCCTCTATGAATTGGCTACATTGCTCTGCTCTCCTCCCCACTGATAGCTGATGTGTGGTGACCGTTCTGGCGCACTATGGCTGCCGTCGCATCATCCAGGTGGATGCTGCACATTGGTGGTGGTGGGGGGGAGTCCCCATTACCTGTAAAGGGCTTTGAGTGGAGTGTCCAGAAAAGCGCTATATAAGTATAAGCAATTATTATTATTAATTATTATAGTAGTTAATGCTTAGAACTTAGTGCAGCTTTAATTCAACCTGGAAAGCATATCAGACCTGAAGTGTCTGATGAAACCATTGTACTGTATTTAAATTAAGTTGTAAATTATTATATATAGTCAGTATTGCCCTTTGTTAATTTAATATCTTTGCTTTTCTAGGATTTCATGTTCTTTGAACACAATCAGTAAGGTAAGACAGTAAATCAGTAAATTGTGAAGCTTATCCCTCTCAAAAATTATTGTTACCTCTTAACTTTTCATTGCTCAATTTCCAGTATTTTATATGTATTCTTTGTAGTCGTTTCAGTGTGATCTAGTTTAGTAAGTTGGCTACTTATTACTTGAAAGCAATTTATAACAGAAAAATGATTATTTAAAAACAACTAAATAAAATGCATGACCAGGACAACATTTCAGTTAATGCTGCATTTCACTTCATTGTTGCCAGGTTGAGAAAATCCCTATAAAATATTTTAAAAAGCAGATATTCTTCAATAATCATAGTAGAGTTTCAAGTTAAGAATAACCTATTAATGAAGTGACACAAAAATATTTTTGGCCATTTTAATATACTTTCCAAAATGTATTTAATCAAGTATTTTATTTAAATTGCACATTTTTGTAATTGCTGTAAAATGTTTCTTTAACATGTACTAGAGTATAGGCTTGATTTCATTTTCAAAGCTTTTTACCATACCATATAAATCAACTAAAAAATCATGACTGCTTTGTGATGATTTGTTACTGAATCAGCTTATTTTGTATTCCAACAGTAGATGAGATGTATACACGGTTTCATGGACTTTCCCAGTGTGCCCTGGATTTGAATGTTGTATTTTCCATTAAATATATAATTGTAAAGTAAAGGTAAAGTGCATAAAGAATGTAAAACATCACTGATCTTGTCTCTCTCTAGGAATCACACATGGAGTTTTACTCACTTTCTGTAAATGGGAAAATTACTACCGGTGTGTAAAATAATCAATAATCAGTATGACAGAGCTTTCCTAAACAATTTCTACCATTCATTTTGAAGCAACTATAAAACATTCCTTACAACATACACCTATAATAAAACTGTCAGATTTAGACACATACTGTATTAACTGTCCTTGACTAACATACAGTACTAGAACTTAACGTGTCATGGAGAGCAAACGTACAAAGGTTTATCTGTAATTCTGGCAGTTTGTCTAATAAATTCCTAATACATGCATAACAAATATCTGTTCTAAGGTTTAATATACATTTACAATTACCATTAGTAAGTTAGCTTTCAGTTCTTTCTTACTAATACAAGACTGAGTTTACCATCTGATATCCTCAAATTTACTCCAGATGTTCTAGTTAGAAAAGATCAGGTATTGTGACTGAATTTGAATACTATTAGAACATTTCAATTTATGTAGTTTTGCTCAAATCTGATGCTGCTTATCTGTCTGTTCCCAAGAAGCTTGTTTATTTCTTTGTTTCTTTTAAAACTACTATTACACTATTAAAATTCTCCAGCTTGTGTAAAACAGTCTTGCTAGTGTCCTCACAAAATCTGATCAGGTTTATATGATTTTAAAGGGTACACTTGGAATACTTTGTCCTTTCCATTAAGAACGTGGAGTTTGTAAGTGTTGTTATTACATATGCTTTTACAGATGTTTCTATAACTTTAATGTACATCTTTTAATTATATTTTTCTTTTGATCTAATTTTTAATGTGTGCTAAAAATCTAATAAAAAATTTGCTTTGATTTTATAAAATATATTAGAATATATTTTCTTTTCTTACCATGTGTGATGTGAAAAAGGAAGTTATTTTTATATACACTTGATACTGTATATAACAATATACAGTACATGTAATTGTTTTGTAATTTTCTAAAGTAAAAACACATGCTTAAGTGACTATGTTTAAAAATATTTTTAAAATAAAAGGTGTAATTGCTTTGAATTATTCTTTCTTAGAATGCCTCATCTTTGGGTACATAAATATAAAAACACGTTTTAATTTAAACACACATTGAACTGAGCTGTTTTGCTGCAACAGGCATCATAATCTGTACCACTGTCACTGAGTGAGGACAATTACATTTATTCCTGGTCACCAGTACTATTTTGTTATCTGTTTTGTTCAGTAATAGTTCCAATTTCCTTTTCATTGCAGTTTATATATGAACAAATTGCCTTGCATATTTTAAGGATCTCATTCACCCATTTTTTGGAAGGACCTCAGGAAATCATCAACTACAGTGCCACTGGGTATCTTCTTCCAGACACCAACAATACTTTAACAAATGCCTGCTTGTGGAAAAAAATGCTATTTGTTTACACCTAAGCACAATTCATCATAATTTATGGGTTTTTGATTAATTCTTGAACATTAAGAAAACAAACAAAATGGGTTCTGTTTGTCAATTCTCTTAAGAGTTTTAAATATTTAAAATACTTTTTAGTTTATCAGGTACAACAATTAAAAATTCGTATACAGTAACACCATGACCCATTTATACAACAGATTATTTATTAGTTCAATTTAAGTGAGGCACCTAGCTTAAAGTTAAAACTTTGATTTTGGGTAAAATTAACCCCTATGGTTCAACATTGTCTTTTACAAAGTCTAAAAAAATTCAGTTTCTTTGAACTCTCAGTCTGAGGAATCTCTTTTAAATGCAAAATTTGAACTACTACTCTTGATACTTGTCCCAGGGATAAAAAGATGTTCGTTTTAATACAGTGACCAGAAATTCACATAATACTTTAGTCAATGCATAACAGAAGAGACCATTTGATCTATCGCATATGCTTGGCTACAAATAGATAATCCAACAGTGATTCAGCCATATCCTGAAAGGTCTGATGAAATCCATTTGTCTCTGAAGAGGCCTGTAAACCAGATCAATCCACCTCTATCATTCTTCCTTTCCTTACAGCCTGCAATCTGCACACATTCTGACATCCTTACCTTCACCTCTAGTCTTGTAAGCCTCTTAATTAGCCCGGAGGAGTGGCTACTTCTCAGTAGACAAGCTCATAGCGTAGTCCACCCTGATAACTTCGTTCTCTCCTATGAAATTCCACTCCCTCTGAGTAGTATTTACTCATTCAGATCAGCTGTGTTTCATTTTGCAGGTTTTTCCAAATTAGTTATAGCATCCTGATGTAACTTCATCAATATCTTTTGAGATTTGAAAAGTATCTCTTAATATTCTATACTGTAGCTGAGACTAAACAGATTAAGTGCTTTTAACCCGCATGTATTTAACAATTTTTAAAGTATAAATTAATCTCATCCTTGAACACTCCTCAGGACTGTAAATGTATTTTTGGAACATGGTGACCAAAATTTAAAATAATATTCTAGCTAACACACTATATAATTTTATCATAAATTTCCTAACTTTAAACTATGCAGTAGTAAAATTAGTACTGCCAATGCACATTACACAACAAAGCAGTTTATAACCTGAAGTGTAAAGATCAATGCAGAATTATGAGCATGAAGATTGAAGCAAAGAGGCTGCCAGACATTTCTCCCACTGGCAGGTATCCAGAACACAGGACGAGAGAGCAGAGAGCAAGAGGAAAGGTGAAGATGTGAAGGGGGGGGTATGGGTGCCAACACCATACCAACTTGGACTCCAGCTGGGATTGTTGGGCGGAGTCCACATACTGTACAATGCAAACTGAGCTGCAAAAAAACATCAGCACGATTGTTGGAGGCCAACAGCACAGATAAGGAGATAAGGAGGAGGATGGTTCATAGCCACATGAGGTGAAGAAGGTTCAAAAGTGTAGACCCAGACCTGACACAGTGAGCTCAGTGAGGGTGAGCAGGCATCAGCATGGCAATTCCAACGATGAAATTGTAGTTCAGGCGTTTGTGTAATACAGTATGTCGCTCTTCAATCCAAAGTAAGCAGCAGTCCATGGGTCATGAGGTGAACCCAAAAGCAGGCAAGGAAACCAGGCAAAACAATGATGAGTAGACAGGTATTTTCCAAAGCCACAGTCAGAACATGCAAAATGTATAGCTGAATAGACACTGTGGATTCTCTGTCTAAAGCACTGGAGAATCCAACCTTGTGTAAAAGTCCCCAGGAAGCACAGCTGTGCTATTCCCCAAAGCCTTCCCTGAAAGGACATGTCTCACTGACTAATGGTGATGCAGGAAACTCCCACTCAGTGATCCAGGAGCTGGTTATACAGGGTGAACACCTTAGTGAGGGTCTCCTCTGAAGCCAGGCCAGGCAAGAACTGTCAGCTTGGCCTCCCAGGAATCTCACGTCAATGGGAAGCGCCCAGGTGTGAATGGAGTCAGGAACCCAGGCAGCTCCCTTTGGATATACCCTGGGAGACGTCTGCTAGGAACAGGTGTAAAAGGAACCCTGTCTTTAGGCCCCTCACAATACTGGGAACCCTGGTTCAGCACAGCTCCAGGGAATGATCCCAGTCAGAGCCCGTGAGCAAGGAATCCTCTGGAGTTCAGGCTTACAGAGTGATATTGGAAGGAACTGGACACCTGGCTCCCTAGGAAGAAAAGAGAGTAGCCTCTAGCTTAGACACTGGAAGGTGAAAAAGGAAAAAAAAAGAAGAAAACAGTGAAAAGTATACAGTAAGTGATCCAGACAGCCAGAAAAATAAAAGGTGAGAGAGAGGAAAATGCCCCAAAGGCGAGGAGAAAATGTGGCCCCACAGGGAAGCCAGAAAGGCAGCAGGAAAGAGGACAGCTGGAGAAAAAGCCAAACGGCAAGGGCAGGAATCTCAATAGAACTGAAACAGGGCTGCTGGAATGAGGGAAAGATGACTGCACGGAGAAAGCCCTGGGGTCCTGGACAAGGAAGACTGCCTCCTGAAAGGGGATGAAACCACAAGACAGGGAGGCCAGAAGGAAGAATCCAGGGTTCTAAGATGAAGGCCAAGAGCTGGCATGCAAACTGGAGTGCAGAGCGGAGTGCAGACTGAGACAGTAACTGCTGTGCAGGGCAAGGCCTAGGCTTGAAGTCGAGGCTGCTGTGCTGGGAAACGCCAAGGCTTGATGCTGAAGGTGCTGCTCTGGATGAAGTGAAGGCTTGAAGGTGAAACTACTGCACAGGGTGTAAAGAAGGCTTGAAGCTGAAGATACTGTTCAGGGTAAAGTGAAGGCTTGAAAGGCAGACTGATTCAGCAGAGAAATAAGGAGAGAATGGAAGCAGTACTGCAAACAGGACAAAACTGGGGTGAACAAATTACAAGGGTGCAAGCACTGTATTAATTAAGTGCTGTTAAGGTATTTCAGCGCTCTTTGACAGAAATTAAGTAGTAAGATACGAAAAAGGACAGTAATTGAGGGTTAGTCACTGGGCTCTGGGCCACATCCTAAAGAAATGAGGTTTGAATCTATGGTTCTGACTGTAGGTGGTAAGTCATTGTGCCATCTGAGGGCCAGCATAGAGAACAAATGGACCTGGGACTTGTGGCCCCTCACAAATGGCATTGTCAGTAACACTGAGACACTGGATCACAGTGCCCTTGCAGGAACAGTGTACTGGAGGTGTGCTGGTGTAGTCCCTTTGGAAGGCTAATACCAGGGTTTTGAATCTGAGGTAGGACATGAAC